TCGACAGCACACATGATAGCAAATTGTGAACGCAACAATCACACACAGCCACCAATTTTCGCATTGAACCACAATCCTTGAGTTTCGTTATTTGGGATGCAGTCAGGGAAAAAAGTTCTGCGCCAAAAACACACGAAACCAAATGCATGAAAAAGAAGAGAACCGAACTGATGGGAGAGTCCCCATTCTCTCGCTCTCGCTCGCTCTTCCGAACACATAAAACAAGAGAACAAACAGCAAAAGTACATTGATGTGCTGAACAGATATCGAAGAAGCGCAAAAAAAACAACAACCAAAGTTCGTTCGCAATAGTTGCATATCGCGCGCGCTATGCTGTATGGCAATATGTCTGGTATCAGACAAGCGTTCGAGCAAATGACGATGAAAACCAGTGGAAAAAGCCTGAATCCACATGCACTGTGCGATGATGGCGAAGGAGCGATGAACGGGCGTCTCTAGCAAATATTACACCATTGTTACTCGGGCACAACATATATATATATATATAATATATGTATATAGTATAACTCCTGGTGCATGTAACGAAACGCGACCAACGTAAACATTTTAGCAATAAATTATTGGTGTTTTCATGTTTTTTCCGCATTTTTCTCCTCTCTGTCTCACTCTCTCGCCCATTCTATACTTCTCTTCCATTCGTTACATGGCAATTCTCACTCAATATCTTCTTTTCTATGTTTCGTTTTTATTTTTTTATTTTCAATTTTAGAGCTCCCTTGAGCGTTCGTGGTAATAATGGAAACAACGGTGGACCCGGTTCCGAGCATAGTTTACCGCCCAGCTATAATCGTACACGAAATAACCTTTTACGAATTCCGGCGATAATCGGTGGCAATAGCAACAGTGCGGCGATGGCGAACCAACAATCGCATCGTAACAATGACAACAATACCAGCAACACCAACACGACAAATTCAATCATCGATGCAAAATTGTCCAAGTCAAGCACCGATATCCAAGGCATTGATGAGCTATTTTTGAATGCGACCAACAATAGTAACGGTAGTCATGATACGATCACGAATGAGTCAAATGCCAAATCAGCGGAAATCGACAACGCAACCAATTCACAGTCAACGGTAACCGTTGTAGCCAAGATTGAGGACGATACAAAGGCGATGGTGGCCACATCGAGCAACGGTGATTTGGTCACCATTGTAACCATAACGGGATGCACAACAACGGAATCATCGACCGGAGGCGAAATGAATATTCTAGCTCATTTGTAGTACCTATCGTCGGCACACATTCACACTGCCGAACAAAAAAATTGGAGAAGAAATCTATATATGTTTAACAAGCGACGAAAAGAAGAAGAAGCTAAATTAGGAAAATATTGATTTGTAATTTGGATTGAGATTTAATTTTTTTTTTTTTCTTTGAATTTTCTGTTTAGTTCGCCACACGCAGATCCCATTCTGAATGTGATTTGTTTTATTTATTTTTTTCTGTTTCAAAATGGGGTGGATTTCTGAATGAAATAGTAGATTCCGCATTCCTCAAGCCAATGGAATTCGAACGCGAAATTTCAAGCGGAAACATTCACTCAATCAGTCAAAACTGCACTTTCTAAGCGAATAATCGAATCAGCATAAATGTTCCCTTTGTTTTTTTAACGAATTTAAAAAAAATGTTTCTAAGCAAAAGAAAAAAATTCGTCGCAATCCGAACGTAACAAAATACCCCAAGTTTGCGTCTCATTTTTCCTAAAATCAATTGGCCAACAAATGCATCCAATAAACAGGCATCAAAATGGATGTGCAGCGCATACGTTTATAAGCAATTGATTTAAAGAAGTCATTTGGCGCAGAACAACAAATCGAACACAAAAAACTGAACATACACCCATTGCCGCAAAGCAGCCAAAATTGAGAACGAATAGGAAGCGAAAGAAAGAGAAAAATGAAGTGTGAAAAAGCCAATGTACAGTATTTTATCGGTTTTATAATTTAATTTATGGATAAATAATGTTTTTTTTTATCGTGCCTGGTTATGACCATTTTCTGTTTTAATCATCCCAACCAATTGCTAATTAACTAAACAAAAAAATCAATTTTATTGGCTAATCTTTGTAATGAACCGCAACTACTTTTTTTTTAAATTGACGTACGATACAAACTTAAAAAAAAGAAACAAAAGAGAAAATTTAATGGAAAATGTGTCGAAACAAGCAAAACTAGAAAAAGTAATAAAATGAACAAGAATCGATTGAATTCGCAACTTAGTAGGTTTTTAAAGAGAATTAAAAAAAACACGTTTTGTTGTTTCAATAATGTTTTGTACTTGGATCAGGAATTTTACAATTAATGCAGGTTATTGCAGTTGTGTAAATGAACAAGAAACAAGGCAAATTTGCAATGATGCGTGGAAATGAATAAAATAAACAAAAAAGAAATGTTACGAAAACAACGTATGACAAAAATACATTAATTAACGGATGCAACAACAATAGAGAAAGAAAAATGGGAAATTTTTAAAAACACAATATGTATAAAGACAAAATGAAGCCTAAATTTTTTTTTTCAATTTCCATTTTTAGCCAACAATATAATATTATTATTTCCAACACGTATTTTAAGCAAAACCAAAGTTTTCATCTTACGATTAGGAAAATTATATTCGAATTTCAAAAAGAAAAAAGAAACACAGCAACAACAAAAAGTATATATACGCAAAAATAAGTCGAATGTAATAAACAAGAGCGCTTTATTGTCATTTTAAATCGATGGCAGTGAAAATCATGCCAAATTAACCGTTTGTGTTTACAGTAAACGATTTCATTTCGATTTTTTTTTACCGCTTCAAAGTCCCGATTTGTCCTTTTTCATTGCCTACAACAAATATCAATAGCAACAAATACATTTTTTTCACTCAGAAATGTATCAATTTATTCGAATCAGTTCCAAAGCCGACGATTTGAATGAGTTTTTGCTACACGCAGCAAATTCTTCTAGAATCCTGGGAAAATTATGACAACAAGAAATAAAAAGAGAAATATTGTTTTGTATGTGTGTGTTTTTTTTTCTTTAACTTATATACGAAAAAGTATAAATGTTACAATACGGAAATAATATATGGAAAATATGTTATTGTATGAATAAAAAGTATATTTATAAAAGCGAAAAAATATGAAAAAAAACATGCATTTTATTTGATTTGATTTGATTTACAGTTTAAGGGACCTTTACTAAAGGCAGATATAATTTTGGACATCATGATCTTAAGGTTTGTATCAAAGTGCAGCGATTTTCATCAGTTGACCTTCATCAGCACAGAGCTTGATGATATCGCAAATACAAGGAAATGGATTTAAATAAATTGCTTTCATGTGAATGAACTTCCATATAGTGGAACGAAAAAAAAGGTTTGTTGAAGTGAAAAAAAGGTTTCTGATGATATCTGGAACAATTGGAACTTTTTTGAAATTCAGCCAATACCGGCCGGTGAAATTGATTTTAATGAAATAGATCCATTCAATCACGAGCAACTAAACTGTCAATTTCAAGTTTTTTCAAACAGTATTGCTCACATAAACTTGTTCAAATATGTTTATCGCTGTTACTGGAAACGAGTTTGACACTTCAATTCTTAAATACATTTTTTTTTTCAACTTAAACTTATCGTTACATTACATATATGTCTTCAATGGGGAAAAAATATAGAATAAGACAAACAAACAATTTTTCAAAGGCTGCCATCAGTTTGTGTATCACAGTCGCATGAAATGTATCTGATAACTGCAATGAATGGATTTATTTCATCCCGCAGTATGTATTGTAGACGAGAATCAGACCAAAAGCCCATTATGTTTCTGGCAATAATGCCAGGCACTGTTTAATATCATGTAAAAATATCGGAATGATAGGATATGTTATTCATGTTGAAGTTCCCTTTTGGATTTTCAGTTGTGATTACAAATTGCCACGAGTATCGGTCAATAGTATTGAGTGTGTTGAGTACACATGAACGTTCTTTATCTGTTGACGTCACACTGTTCTATGGGTGAGTTCATGAGCAGATTACATTCGAATGACTTTGCATTGGAATATGTCGAGTATGTATTCAAGCGGTTAACCAATTTTAAAGTAAATTATTCGTTTTAACAGATACTATCAATTATTTGACCAGACCTTGTAGAGTTTGAACTGGCCATCAATTGTGGTGAAGACAACATGGTGTCAAATAACAATTCATTACCTCTTGTCGTTAAGATGTACATGGCGAAATATCTCAAGTGAAACATACTACTACTTCTTCTTCTTCTTCTTCTAAAAGCAGAGTCCACAAAAAATACTTACGCCCCCTTGAGCTAACCCATTAAATGTATGCGTAAGTGAATATTGGGCCGAGAATTTTGCATTTTTTTTTTCATGAATTTATTGTAATTTCTGAATAGAAATATTTTGAGAGTATAAAATCATTTTGCTGAGTAGCAAAATATCTGGTGGAGATTTATCCGTATACGAAACTTATGCTAAATGAATCAATTTAAAAAAAAGGGCTAAAAATTGGCTATTCTAAAAAAAATATTTAACCTAATATCTGTCGTAGTTCCCTGAGAGTCAAACGATTCGCATTGATGTTTGCGAGCTCTCGAGTTTTGTACTATCGTCGAATTGGTTTGCACATTTGCTTCTAAATTCTAAAATGGTGGCCACGTGTGATTTGGTGTGAATGAAAATCAATCGCCTCACTGTCCGATGAAGTGATTCTGAAGATTTTGATGGTTTTGATCGTTGGTATTAAAATAGGCGGTGGCATTAATCGAATTGGTTGTCTGAATGGGTAAAAAGAAACTAGTTTGATTGTAGCTGATGGTTTGTTGTTGGGTGGATTGTGTCGTGTGTGCCGTTTGAATGGAATTCATCATTGCATTGTAGGAGTTCATCATTGCATTGTCCATTGGATTTGTGCTCACATAACCATTTTGCGCTTGATAGCTCGGTGCAAATGTGGACAGTGGATTGCGTATCGATCGTAGATTTGTGTTAATTGTACTGATGTCACAGTCAAAGGGATTTTGAACTGTCGTCGAACTTCCACTCGACTGTCCGGCGTATAGATTTTGATTAAATATCGATGTGGCGGCATCACAGTTATTCGGTTGCATTAAATTCGTACGCATCGGATTCATTGTTTCGGGTGCATTATATTGCGATGGATGCATACCCATATTCTCGTTCATGCCCAACTGAACGGCACCCATGGTCGTCACTCTGCTTGACGAGACGGGAGATAAAAGAAAGAGCGCATTCATTAATTCATGCTATTCTCAAATGTGTATGTCAAATGTGTTTGTTGTCGAATGGAAAATACCAACGGAAATGGAATACTTACTTTGGATACGGAGAGTGTTTGTGTTTGCTCTACGATTGAAAAGTGTCAGAAAAAAAAGAGAGACAAATTAGTTGCTAAAGGTTTCAAATCGACCGAACATTTGATGATAAAATGTTACCTCTCTGAGTTTTGATTTGAGTTTTTCAATTTTGGCATGTAATTTCTGTACTTCAAAGTCCTGTTCGCGATGCTTCAATTTGTCATGGAGCCGCTGGATTTCATGATCTTTCTCACGCAATTTGCTCGTCCAATCATGCTTGATTTTCTCCAATTGAATGGACGCCATATGCAATTTGTTATTCTTGTTCATAATAATCTGATCTAAATACTCGACATATTGCGATACATTATCAATGACCGCCGAGAAATTAAAATAGATTCGTCGTGTTTGTGACATTGTGACTGCTTGACGGCACTCGGGGCATGTTTTTGGCTCGGCTGCTTGAACACTGCACCAATTTATATCGAATCGAAACAGCAGCAGAAAAAAAACCAATGTTTATTTAATAAAATTCGTTGTAAAACCTTTGCATATTCAGTTCAGCGTTTTTTCTTCTCGCTGAATTTGTATCTGCATATGGGAATATATTTCAATATTTACCCGTATTGAAGCCATTTTGATAGGCACATTTCGTGGAATACATGTCCGCATGGCGTTACGACTACATCACTGGAATCATTATCGTTGCGTTTGCCGAACTCCTCTGAGCATATCGCGCACTCAATGGCTGGCATATTTACACAAAATCACCCAACACTTGGATATTTTATTCGACAATTTTAATCACAATTTCCAATTTTTTTTTTCTTTTTCAAACCAACATTTAAATCAAATTGAACGGCACCAAGTTAAAATATGAACAAAATTTATAGAAAATAAAATGGTTGTTCAGGCACAAAGAACAAGATATGGTTTTTTTTCTGTTGTTGTTGTCTTTGAAGTGACGATAGTGCTCGGTAACAAGAGAGATGAAACTAACACACATTCGGTGCGGCTCAAATTATGATGGGCAAAATACATGAAAAAAAAACACAGCGTTTAACGAAATCCCAAGTGAACGAAACAGAACACAAGAAAATGGCTTTGTATGTTCATAGAAAAATGCATAGAAATTTGTCTCTCTTTCACATTTACATTACCGAAATTGAATATAAAAAAACAACAAACCGACACAAAACGAACGAACAAAATACAACGCACACTCACACTCACACACACACACACACACACACACACGTAAATCCAGTGATTTGGTTGCATTAAATGTCGGTGTTGCTGTAATAACACATAGATCTCGGGGCGATTGGAATATGTGTCGAGAAGAAAGCAATAAAAAGGTCATAAAATTTGATTTTTGCTTCGGTTGTGTTGGTGTAGTGTGGTGCGTGCATGCGTGCGTGCAGGACTGCAACAATATCGGTACGTTTTATGTGCTCGCTCTATTTCTCATTCTTCTCTATGTTTATGTGCATGTATGTGTTAGTGTGTCGGTGTCGGGTCGGTCCTCATGCGTAACCTAAAAATTTCGCCTATTTGTTTTGTTCTTATGTTGTTACTGTCTCTTCGTTTGTTCACGTTCCGTCCCTCTCCTTCTCGTTCGCTCTCTGTTTGCTTGCTGCATAGCATTTGCTGCGACTTATGAAACGCATTAGAAGGTGGTTGTTACTTGTTGATCGCATACATACACTCACACACTCAAACGGTGCGTGCATCGTTAACATGTGATTCAAACTAAAAATTTCTAGCCTACAGTAAACAAGTGACACAGACAATCACAGTGCACACTCTCTATCTTCCTTTGCTTACTCCGTCGTATAGTCGTTATGGTTTTTCTACCTGAACCATTCTACATTAAAAGTGCTGCTCTCGGTTTAGTGCACTACAAATACAGAAAATTCATAGAAAGGAGATATGTGTACATTTGGTGATTTCTCTCGCTCTCTCGCTTCGAAACACACACGAATACAAGGAACATTCAATATTTCTTTCAAACGAAGAGCCTGCGGATGAGACATTTTGGCTCACTTTTCCATTATTTGTCCTTTTACGATGCAAAAGGTAGAAATGATGGAAACATGCAAAACTGTTCGCCATTCCCTAGAATTGTTCGTATAACAATGAAGAGAATATTACTCAAATTACTTTTTTTACCTTGTTCTGCTCTGAAAATCCTTTCAAATAGATATTTACATCTTCTGGAGAGATCTTTGTTGAAATTGTAATTTTTTGATGACATCTGACTAAGACTGCAGCCATGTCACAAACACATTTTATGATTATGCATTCTGAGAATTGGAACAAGAAACTCGATAATATTATTTTATTATAATACTAAAACATTCATGTACACATAAAATGAAATTTTCGAAAACACATCCTGTAAATTCTTGGTATTTTTGCCGTGTTGAATATTTTGCAAATTTTGGATATTCATAACGATTCTGATTTCGTCGATATTAGACGTGGATATGGTTATTTTTGATATTAGAATAAATTCCTTGTATATGCATACCTTTTGAGGGATTTTGCGCTCGAATTTGTTTCAATTAACATCTTCCAAATGGCTTCCTCTTACATAGTAAAAAACATATTCAAATTCAAAATCATTTTGAATATTTTCTTGAGATGGAATTTTTTTCGTTTTATGTAAATTAATGGTAGATTATTAATTAATCTGATTATTCTGTAGGGGGTTGCAACATAATTTCCTGATTCTGTCGAGAAGATAACCGAGCGTTACAACGTTTGAAGTGGAAAGCTCGATATGAAAGCTATACATCGAAGTTTCATTATAAAATTTAAGGGAGACGCCAAGTATTTTTTCAAAACATTTTTTTTTGCTGTTTATATGTTCGACGGTTGTACAATGTACACACTAGTTTTTGTAGCCTAATGTTTCCATCCAAAAATATGGCATCTGCAAACATAGTTCCCTGAGAGTTGAATAATTCGCATCAACCCAATATCAAACCATATAATATTATTTACAGTTCTGTGCTAGGGGAATATCACGCAATTTTTATTCGCAAAACTTATTTCTATCTCATTTATTCCATTTAAATATAATAAAATCCAAGCTATTTCAAATATTTCGCAAAATCTGTATTATTCACTCATATTCACCATGTGCTGACGTCATTACCGCTTCAAAAATGCTGGAAGTGGATTTTGGTGGATCCTCAGGATGGGCCAGGGCATTGTCAAACCCAGTCTGGTCCATCCTGAAGATCCACTAAAACCCACTTCCAGCATTAAAATATCTGCAATAATCGACCAAAATGAAAAAAATCTCAGATATCTCGCATAATGTAATATAATTGAAATTAATTTTCAAAAAATGCAAAAATCAATAGAATTTTTTGCGTGATATTCCCCTAGGTTCTGTGGCCAGTGCAGAAATTCCATTGCACAATTTCGAAGAGTCTCGAATAACACAAAAACAAAATTTTGAAACGATGTTGTAATTGAACGTTTTTGTTCGTCCAATTTCAAAATCCAATCGTGTCGATTGGATTAGTGCCGAACAAACTTTCCGGAAATTTGTCATGAAAATACTCTGGAATAACTTTGAACGTTCGTTTGGCGGAAAAAGGTCCCAACGTTCAGTTTTATAGTCAAACTCTGTGTAAAGCATATAGCAGCTTTTCAACATCGAATTCAACATCAAATCGTTCGATTTTTTTTTTGTTTTCTTACTAGTTTGAATACAGAGAATACCACCAGATATTAATATTCAGATGAGACAAAAATATCGAGATTTTCTACTGAAATGATTTGATCACTTTAAACCGATACAGGAGAGTGAAATATGGTCATGAAGCTGTCAAAGTTGTGAATTTTCCAATGAAAAACCAAATTTATTGATTACTTTCGTTTGATACAGAATATTTATAGTTATACGAAGTCGTGCAAAGTGAATAACTCATCGTATGACATTTTTATCAATAATCAAATTTTATTTTTTTTATCCTTTTTATGCGTTGGCTGTTTGGTAGTTGGTACAGAGTGAGATAATAATGTAGTGTTTTATTGTCTGCCTAAAAACAAGCCGACATTGATCAGTATACAATTTCCTCGAGATAGATCGAAGGAATTTCCAGTTGTCCTGTTGCTTTATGATTAAAGTGACCAACTAATTTTGGCAGGAAATCAGTACATCGTCCAAAAATCGTTTTAAAAAATCAGTACAAATCAGTACATCCATGAAAAAATCAGTATGAAAAATCAGTACATTGGAAATTCCATAAAATCAATAAATTTATTGCATCTTGTATTTATATTGAAGACATATGTTGCAGCGAACGTCACTGGGTTTTAGATTAGCAACATTTCGGATAAATGTGAATTTTTTTCGCGAGTTCCGGATTAAAAACACATTTTCTATATACATTCACACAAGAACTTTGTAGATTTTTCTATGAAATGAGTTGGTTTTTGTATGCTAGAATAATGTTATGTAAATTAAAATCACTGCAGAAATTGCCTTTCTGTTTTTTGAGCTGATGTGTTCTGCTTCAAATCTCGTTTGAAACTAAATTGACTGAACGATTTTTGATAACTATTGTTCGTGATTGAAAATGATAAATGATTCAGTGCCATCACAACATTTTGAAATGATATTTCAGAATCACGACTCTGTCATATCATTTTATTCTAAGAATGGGACATATAAACAGTCCGAATGCAAACATAAACAGTTATAATTGTTTTTGAATGTTGGCTCATGGGTTATCGAAATGAACACTTTCAAACGGTGTGTTTAAAGAGACGTCTGCGAATTGCAATCATTATCAGCATAATAATATGTTTACATAAAGCCGTCTACATATAAGATTTTCCGGTAGTCAGTTTTATACACACAAAAGAATTTTATATGGTAGAAATGAAATAAATTTTATAAATGATTCAAAGGCAATTCGAAGTAATACAAACACGAGGCAGTATTTACATTTCAGTGAACAATGAGATTGTTTTTGCTAAGTGTAAATGATTAATTAATGCTGACGTATTAAAAAAGCCCGACATTCGTCGTTTTTACATCTTTCGTCGAAGTTTTTGAAGCAAGAAAAAAAATAAAGAATCAAGATTGAAAAATAAGTTAAAATAAGTACAAATCAGGACAGAATTGAAAATACGCTCAAAATCAGTACTGTACTGCTAAAATCAGCACGGTTGGTCACTTTAAATTATGATATATATAGCAAAAATCATTCAAATGCCATTTAAATGACTTTACCAGTCACAAAACAAAATAATCGATTTTCACGACCAGGCCTATTTTTTGATGGCCGATTCATCAAATGAATCATACAAAAAACCTTTCAACCTATCAACCTCGACCGGGATTTCTTTGACATGTTCTATACAGTAATGTCAAATATGACGGGTTTCAGAGCCACCTGTCGTACACTCGGTGAACTGTCATCGATATCATTTGTTCGCTCAAACTCAACGGGACAAGTTAAACTGAACGGTGCGCGAACAATTGATATCGATGAAAGTTCACCAAGTGTGCGCCAAAGGCGCTGGAACCCGTCGTATTTTAATAAAACCCGGTCGATCAACCTTTATTTTATTTGAATAAAATGAGAAAAAAAATTCGACGTAGTACGCGATACAATTTTTTTTAACAACAAAAAAGGAAATGTTGTAAATAAAATATTTCAATCATTTTTTTTTTTAAATCGAATGAATAATTTTTTTTTTAAATGAATTTCGATTATGTTTTACCTTAATCACTGCAATGAGTGAGTCTTTTGCTGAGTTTTGCGAATTGAGTCAATGAATTGGTATGCATTTATACGAGATATTTCCACTATAAATATCGTGGACTTTTTGAGAGAAGCAACAGTCAATCTTTGCCCACTTGTGCGAGGACGAAGTAGTAGTTGAAGAACAAGAAACGAGTATTCAATTTTGTTTTATTAACAACGTAAAACTTGTGCGATTCCATGACATTCTTCAAAATTTCAATTTCGATTGGTTCAACTTCTTCAATACCTTTGGTCAAACGACAAAGAATCAACGAAATTTCACTCGCGATTTTGCACAACAAATACAGCAGAAAGTCTCTCATTTGAAGAAGCCAAACAAGCTGCTGCATTTGTTCTGAATCCATTTCAAGTTCTTTTCAACCTACATTGTCCTCGTTAATGCAAATCAAACATTTAAAAATGAAAATAATTTTGGTTGCTTTAAGCGTTTTGGTGTTCGGTTCAGCTTCAGGTAAAGAACAGATTAACAAGAATCTCAAAAATAAGACATTTAACATTCTTCGTTATAAAACTCCAGCAAATCCACTTTCTCATCACAATCACGTCATCCCCAAAATTGTCGGTGGATCTGCGTCGATCATTGATGAAAATCCATGGCAAGTATCTCTTCAATATAATAACCGTCATGACTGTGGTGGCTCAATTATTGGGGAACGATGGGTTTTAACAGCAGCTCATTGCATCACGTAAGTGTGATTTTGAAGCTAGAAATGAATAATCCAGAGCATTTTTTACTTATTTTTTTCTTGTGTATTTCAGAAGAAATCCGGGAGCATATTCAGTCCGCGTTGGTTCGCCGCTTAACCAAGACGGTGGTTCACTCATTAAAGTAATCCGTATCGTTTCACATGAGAATTACAACGCTGATTCGATGGATTTTGACTTTTCACTGCTGCGACTCGCCGAATCCTTGAGCTTCACTGATAAAATACAATCAATAGCACTTCCGAATGCATATACAGCAATTGAAGACGAAGCTTGGAGTTTGGTTACTGGCTGGGGTAAATCAAATAAATTTAAACGAGTAATTTGAATGATGTTAATGACCTTTCGTTCAATAGGTGTCACAAAAAATAAATACGAACTGAATGGAGTGCTTCGTGAAGTCATTTTATCGCTTATGAACCAAGACACTTGCAATGAACTATACGAGGGAGAAATAACTGAACGAATGATCTGCGCTGGATATGATGATGAAAATTCATTACATGATTCATGTCAAGGTGACTCAGGCGGCCCGCTATCGATTGAAAGTAATGGAGGTCGCGTTTTGATTGGCGTTGTTAGTTGGGGCAAAGGTTGTGCTGAATCCGGCTATCCCGGAGTGTACGGGCGAATTTCATCGGTTCGATCATGGATCAAACTCGTCACAGGAATTTAATCACTAATCCAATTGTGGATCACCCTAAGAATTTCACTTCCGTAAATTATTATCATCTCTTCAATTTTCGTAGTAAAAGACTGAATCGAAATAAAAACTGCACCAAATAGTTAGTAAAAGCAATTTATTCGTTCAATTAAAGTATTCTCTTAGGCTAATTCATTTTATACACTTTTTTTTCTCTTAAATTATTCCAATATGATATAGTACGAAGTACGAAGTTCAAATTGATATGATTTTGTTGGTTGTTCTTGTTTTGACTTTCGATTCAAGTAAATCCTTATTTACAAACATCATGTGTACGGAAGAAACAGTGCGAAATTCTCATTGCATCGTTGGCAACTGAATTTTGTTCAACTAAACTGTTAATCTCGTTTTAAAAAAAACACATTCTGTGCACAAAATTTAGCTGGCGTGTGCGTGCAGTTATTACTCGACGGTTTTTTGTCGGACCGCAATATTGGGATTAACTTCAATGATCATCTTAATGACAATAGAAAATAAATGATAATGATATGAATAAAAAATAAATTAAAAAAACGCAGTGCTCGAAATTCCATCGAGAAAGACACTCAATGTTGGCCAATCCAAAATATTTCAAATTGCAGTGTTGTCTGGTTCCTCATGTTTTTTTTTGTTATTTTCCTTCTTTTTTTTCTCCCTCTCTCTCTCTCTAGCTATTATATCACACAAATAAACAACAAAAATATACAATTTCTTTTCTTTTCTTTTCTTTTTTTTCATTCTTTAAATTCAAAACATAAAAATTGAAAAGCACAAAATTCCACTAATACGAAGATAATAATTTAAAATTCAACTCTCCCAGATTAAAAAAGGCAAAACTCAATACGCCAGAGAATTCGCACATTTCATGCGGAAAGGCGTTCGAAGGAAGCGAACCAACGTCGAGAAATGTCGCCCGCAGCACGGGAATTCTCCTAGCGATGTACAGCAGCGAAGCAATTTAAATTTTGATATTCTCAGTATTTTTACAATACGTGGTCGTAACAAAAATAAAAGTGTATTGATTTTTTTCGTACATTATTTTTTCAAATTTTTTTTTCATTTTGTTTTCCTTTTTCTATTGGATTACACCAAGCAATTGTGAGTATAGTTTTTAAATAATCGACTTTTCTTCATTATAACTAACATAGAACAAGAACGTGGGGGAGCAAACGATTTTAAAGCGGAATTAAATAATGAAATTAAGCAAAAGATAACTTTCACGTTTTGTTTTTCTCACTAAACTTAAATTGTATTTTGCTAAAGTTAAAAATCGGCATAATTTTTCTTGTTTCTCTTTCAATATACAACAACTGGATACCGGAACAGATCGACTTAGCGTGCATGGTTTTTACAGTAAGGCCGTCCGGCTTTCGCATAAAAGCTTTGTCCTTCCAAATTCTTCTTGCACATCTAAAAATGGGGCGAAAAAAAGGGAATACAATATTAGTATCTTAGATGGCTTGAAGCGATGAACCAATTCTAAGTGAAACTTACGGTGCAATTGAAGCATTGGCTGTGATAGTTATGTGACAGAGCTTCTACCCAACGATCTCCAGCTTCGACGGGAAATCCGCATGCAAAACATTTGGTCGTGAACAGTTCATTCCAATCAGCTTCACAATATGGACGACCATCTTCCAAGAAGAATGGGCTGTTGCCAAACAACTTGCCACAGTAAGTGCAGTTGAAACATTCTGGATGGAAGTGCTTGCCAATGGCATTCAAACAATCCCCCTATTGAATGGATAGAAAAAAAAACAGTTTCATCATTTAAAATGATTTTATTTAATGGTTGAATAGTGAATATTTACCTTAATTTTGCCATTGCATTTGTCGCATGGTGGAGCCAAGAATTGCTCAAAACAGTATTCGCAATACAAGTCACCCTTCTCTTCAACGAATCCGATATCTTGAAGTGGTCGTCGGCAGGTGCCGTTCACGCAAACAAAATGATCTGGACACCAGATGCGACCCAAAGCAGTAATGAATGGCCCTCTTCAAATTTTCAAAATGATTTAAAAAAAACAAGAATAATTAATTTAAATCCCAAATTGTTATTCCATCCAATAAGATTCGATCATTACGTGCAATTAATGCAGAATAGAACTAAACAACACTCGACACGAGTTAATTAAAGGGAAAAATAAATTGACAATGAACATCAAAAATACATCTTCAACAACAAAACGACACTAAATGTCAAGTGCATACAAATGAACTACCGATCAAAATTACGTGTGTCATTTCGGTTGGAAAAATTGAACAGAAAAAATCGTTTGTTAATTGAATTTTGGTTGGTTCGTTCGTTGTGTGAACGCGTGAACGAACCGTGAGTGCAGTTGCATTTGGGCTTACCTCGTGATTTTGATGTGGCAGACGGAGCAAACAGGATGTTTACCATCCTGTAGTCCGGTCGCAATTTCTGTTGCATGAGATGTTATCAAATTATTATTATGGTTAAGGAATCGATTCTGATCGAAATTGTCCTTTTCAATGTACGAACGTCGATCACGTGCATGCGTAGTTAGTTCTGGTTTGGTATTTTTATTACGAAAAACAACACCGTTCGAATGACCATTGGTGTGTTGTTGCTGTTGCTGTTGTTGATTGTTTACTTGATGATGGCCATGGGTTTGGTGCTGATATTGTGATTGGATTGGGTTCGGTTTGGCTGAAAATCCATCAATAGTAGGTTTACTTGTAAATGTCTGTTCATTGTCAATGTGATCAACGTTTTCATTTAAATTGATCTGTCCGATCGATGTGCGTTTGTGATTTTCACCGTGGAGAAAATCCGTTTTTTGATCGCTTAGTTCGGATGGTGATGGCGGAGGCGGAAAATCGGCAGTTATCGGTGATGTTGGGATTATGAGCGGCATTGCGACTGTTGTGATATTAGTATCCGAATTGGGGCTTAGTTTTGGCACAGCTGCGTTAATTGTATTAAACGATCGAAAGGCCGGTTTACCATTATTATACGTGGCATTGCCATTAGTGTCATGCGAATGTTTATTGTCATTAATTATCATCGGTTTGTTTAATGTCGATGATATTAATTTATGTGCATGGCCATTCTGTAAGTTTTTTTCATTGTTAAGCCGTGACTCAAGCATACCGGTCAGAATTTTGCCAGCGTGTGCTTTGAAATTTTCCTTAGTATCGCTTTCAATTTTCAAATTTAACACGGAATTTGTGAGCATTTCAGTCGCTTGACCCGGTTCATAATCGTTCGTTGTTGTATCATCAAATGAGTTTTCCATCGGTTTTTTGTTAGCATTCATATCAAGCTGTGCCGTTGGCGTGTCTGCCAATTCATTTGCTGCAATTAATTGTGTTAATAAACAGAAAGAAAAACAGGGGAAAAACATTAAAAAAAACACATGCAAAACGCATTAGCAAATTAAAAAAACATCAATTGTTAAGTGTAAATTACTTAAAATTATTTATGCTAAAAATTCAAATGCGAACAAATTAAATGCAAAAAGACTATTTAAGGGGTTCAAATCTCATTACATCAATACATTTATCATGCAATTATGCAAGCAAGCATAAAATTGGCGATACAATGAAAATGCCTTGTTGTTAGTGCGTGTTTTTTTCATCTTTGTAATGTTTTTATTTTTCTATGCAAAATTAGGACACGCACACATATTGTACGGATGGCTGAGCAACAACAGATAGAGCATCAGTCAACGTGCGGTGAATCAAACGATTTTGTTTTTTTTTGCTAGAAAAGTGCAACAAAAATACTGCAAACGAACGAAAAATAAAGACAAAAAAAAAGAAAACAACGAATCGAGCAAACACACGGACATCGAGTAATACTGTGTTCACCTGATCTGTGCTTGACAGCAACCGCATTTCGGTATACGTCCGCCTGGAGCCACACTAGCATTTAGAACGCCACGTCCACGTTTCGGTGTTGATGTGGCGGCACCAATATTTTGCGAAAAATTCTTGTTCGATGAACCTGCACTGGCAGGGGTTGGATCACTTACACTTACAGTATTTTGGTTGTTGTTAAAATTGGATGGCTTAAAGCCAGGAATTGAGATGGATATAGTCGGTTTGGAAGTACTACCATAGTTTGGATTAGACAAAAAAGCGCTTGGACCGGCTGTGGTTAGAGATTGATAAGCCGATGATTGATATTGCGAGGTTAGTGAAGAAGCGTTGGCGTTTAGATTTGAGCTACTGTACTGATCATCATAGGCGGCTACATCGATTGGCGGTGGGAAGGAGATTTTTTGCGGAACAGGAGATACTCTCGGCGAGAGAGCCGATCTTTGTGGGATGGGAGACAGTCGTGGTGGAGCAAAAGACGTCTTTGGTAACGATGGAGGTGGAAAAGATGTCTTCTGAGCAATCGGTTTAGCCACTTTGGCTACCGGTTCGTTTAGAATTGGAGTTGGTGTTGGTGTTGGAGGTTCGACAATTTTGTTGCCAATGGGAAAACCAGATTCAGTTATATCGGGTGTTATTTGTGGGAAACGATACGAGGACACAACATTTTTGCTGCTTGATTGTGATGTTTCTGACAAGCGTCGAGCTTGACGTGCGACAAACCCTTTGCCATACGTTTCGGATTGGTATTCGTTTGCAATAGCACCAATAGCAATTTTCTGTTGCAATTCACTCACACCGCCCGAACAGCTGCTCGTATGAATTTCGGTTGTGCTTGACTTTTGGGTGTGCTCAAATTCTTCAACAACTCGACGATTTTGTTGCACTTGCACATTACCGACCTGATACATTGAGCTACTTTGCATATCCGATTTCTTGGCTTCATTCAATTCGGCGCCAGTCGAATGGGTTTCAATGCTCAATCCACCTTTCTGTTCGCGATGAAACACCTCTGGTTGGGCAACAAAACTTTGCGATGCCGTTGAATAGCCTTGTCTCGATGCGGCCAACAATTGAGCACCCGATTGGCCGGTTACAATGCTTGGCACACCGATCGAAGTGGATAGCTCAAGTGAATCGGGCGTTGTAATGCGTGGTGCTTGGATTTTCAAGACGTTCGCTGGCGGACCGGATGCATACGGTTTCATGGCGTCGGGTCGTGGCGATGGTGATCGCGGGTTTGTCGGATCAAACGTAAATGAATTCGGTGCGCCGTAGTATTCACAAACTAAATTTTGTTGGTAATAGGGCACCAATGGTGGTGGCTTATTGATGAGCGATGGTGTGGTTGAACGCATCGGTTCAACTATGTCTTTCGGATCGAGTGTTTGAAATGTCATTGTGATGGGAGCGGTACGATTTTCCGACAATGTTGGCACAACAGTTGCCACCGTTGATGCACTTTCCGAAGAAAATGACGATTCGACGGCCGTCGTCTTTTGCACATCCACTACAACTGTGCTCTCAGTTCTTGCACTTTCCGTTGCTGTTGCCGATGATGATGATGCCGTTGATGCTGAAATAGTAATGGCAATTGGTTTTGAAACGGATTCGGTTTTTTCATGTGGTACATCACAAAAAGCAAGCGGAACGTTTTCTTTTAGCTCAGGTGGCTCAGGTGTTCGAATTGGTGACTGTGATGCCAAATTAAACCATTGCCTCTGATATTTTGGTATCGTTTTTGGGCTTTGCAGGCCAGACTGTACGTATGATTTGACTGGCGTGCCGGGTGGTGGTGGGAAATTGTTTGTTTTGACAAACTTCATGTTACGATTGGATTCTTTGGTTTGAATATGGCATGCTTTGTTTTTTGTGTTGGTCTGTGTTTGATCGACTGAATCAATGGTGGTTTTTTTGGTTTTATCGACATTCTCTGTGCATACAGATGATGACCGTGATTGACAGTGAGGTGACTGATTGTATGATGAAAGTGGTTTGAATGGATCAACTTTGCGAAAACCTTTAAGCGGAGCAAATGTCGTACACTTCTTACTCAATTCAGCATCGAGGGTCTTCGAAATGAGGGCACGCACTTCGGCCGACTCTTTTTCTTGTTTTTCTTTCTCCAATCGAACGATGCGCTCGGTATCAGTTTCATCCGGTAAATCTGGATTGAATTTGGTGATTGGTTTAGTTGGTGCTGTGGTCAATGCATCAACTAAGGTAACGTCGGGTGCACGTGGTAAACCTTCAATTTGTGAAATGACATCATTTTCGAATGGAGTAAATGGTCGAAGTGGTGCTACCGTCAATGCTTCCACAAATGGTGACTTTGTGCGCAATGGCTCGTGCCGTTCAATCGGAAGCAATGGGATATCCGGTGGGAAATACGGAGCGCTTTCTTCTGGCAACGGAACATTCTCGTAAATCGGTTTGAACCAATCCATTGATGCACTGGAATCAGAGCCGGTAAAAAGTGATGATAAAAATCCCTTTTTCGACGGCTCTTCGATTTCCACTTTGACTTGTTCATCTTCCGTTTTTTCCAGTAAAACAGATTGAACTTCCTCCACTTTTTGTTCGACTTCAAGAGTTTGCCGGTCGATGGCACTAGTGGTGGTAGTCGACGTTTGTACATAGCTTTCATATGTGCTGTTATCGGTAACAGTCTCTGGCAAATCCGAAATGGTATACGGTTTGTCAGACGCTGTTGTCAATGCCTGCACCATTAAGCTTTTCCATTCTTTTGGCGTTGCATTGTAGATTATGTTCGGCGATGGTGTCACGGATTTTCGATCGAATGGAAGTTTGAGTTGTGAATTGGGCTCTTGAGCTGCTTGTGACAGCTGCAGTTCGTGCAATTCCTGTAATTCTTGTGACTCGTGCGTGTCCTGTGATTCCTGAACATTCATTTCAGATAGATTCTGTTCTTCTGCTATGCTGGACGGTTGACTACCGCTATTGATGAGAGTATCTGTTTCAACTTCGGTGATATTGGGAGAAAATCCGACTTTTTTCGGCAATTTCGGTGGGGCCGAAATCGAATAGTCACCACCATCAAATGTGTTGCCTTTGATATAATTCACCAGTTGCGATGTGTTGATTGTACTACAAATTGTATCGGAACATTCTTGTGCACTGCGTCTGCCCGAGAAACCCATCAAATCCGTTGAACCTGATGAAAATGAGCCACGTTGCTGTTGAATGGACACCACTTCGTAATCACAATTCGATGAATTCAAATCGAGAGATGAATGATCGTAAAAGCTTTGACTTTGACTCTGTAACAGTGCCACTTGAGCATTGTACATGCGTTGATACTCTTCGGATGTGGTTGTCGTCGTTGTACACGTCGACGTATAACTGTCCGAGCAACTTTCCGTTAATTCGTTATGCTCTCGCAAATTCATCGAAGTGAGTTGTGGTGCCGAGCGACTCTCTTGTGTGAGCCATGAAGCTGGCACCATATCGATGACATCCTGGACTTTGGTGGTTTCAACTTCCGTTTTTCCGGCTGTGGCACAGAATCGTTGTTCGACGCTGGTTTGGGCAATAAATTTGGGCTGCACATCAATCGGTGAAATGATAAAACAAAGAAACCACTCAATTTATCTGACGAAGAATTGAAAATGCGCCGCATTATCTCCATAGCATTTTGACAGGCGAACACTCTTGAAAATGTTGAACGAAATACATACACAAAAACTCTCGAAACGAATTTTTTTCGCACGCATTTCTATTCGATATTTTCGAGAGTTGTAGCTGAAAAAATGCCGTGGAGAAGATGAGGAACGTCGCAGCGGTGCATTGGTTCGCTTGTTCGTTACCTGGACGCGTTGTGTACCAGGCGGTGGAATATACAATGGAGATGCAGTTGGAGTATAACGTTGATCGTCCTCAGGCGGCGGTGGCCAGCTGAAAAGTGACGTTGATGGACATGGTAATTCATCAGCAAAGTCAAGGTCATAACCTGTTTCCGATTGCTGTTGCAGCGTTGTTTCTTCTGTTTTGCCGCCAGATAAGTTTCGATGGCAATTGTAACGTAAAATCAATTTGACATTTTCGACCAGACAAAGATTGTGACAAACAGACGGACAAAATGGGCAGATAGAGAGATTCCAGAAAGAAAGAGGATTTTGTGTTTGGCAACAGAGAGACAGAGTGAGAGAGAGAGAAAGACAAACATCCAACACACAAAAATGTCAAAGTCGGAAGGAGGAAAATGGGCGGTGAGGCAGTGCGAAAAAATGTAATATTTATAACATTAATAATCTTGCTGAAGCACTAACTGGTTAAAGCTTTTTGTTTTTTCTGTGTTTTGTGTTTCTTTCATTTTGCTTTTCTTCTTTTTTACAAATCAAAATATTTCTAAAGAATCAAAAAGCGGCACAAAAATGATTACGATTGCCACTTGGCGATTTTGTATATTGTCATGCGATCATGTTTTAAGAATGCTTGAAATAATGCGCACAATGAATACACACAAATGAGCGAAATGTTAGTAATACGTTGTCGAAATGAAGCAAACTTATCAGTTGGAATGTTAACGATATCATTTAGTGAGAACTCACAAAGAGAAGAGAGCGAACAGAAAAAAAAGATTATCGCGCGTTTCGTGTGAATAAAAGGGCTTGAAATCTCACAACAAATGCTTTTGTTGCCAAAACAACGGCAGAAAAAAAAATCTCGGTTAACAATTTTTTTTGCGTCGGCTTTTTGATCAGTAACTTGAATGTAATGCATTTACATGCCTCAAATCATATTCGATGTGGTTTTATGGTGAAAATGAATTCTTTTCATCAACTCAACAGAAAAAAAAAATTGTTGTATAAAAATCTTTGAATAGATCACAGCTAGCATAAAAACTGTATGCGAAAGCAGATTCATCAATAAAAAAAATCGATTTTAAATTATAATAAGCGTAGTTAAATCAAATGCTCGGATTCAAATTCAAAACGGAGCACTCATCGTATGTCAAACGCAATGCTTGAACAAACAGTGAGCAGAAAGCCAACAAAAAAAATGTATAATCGGCTTTGAACGGAAGTCGAGTTGAAGCTGCAAGTATTTGCATGAAAACCTGGAATTGGGCAGTAAATTGGCGGAGAGTGTCGATTCATTCACGATTTCGTGAAAAATAAACGCAAACTATATTGTTGTTTTTTTTACAAATGCTTGTTACTGATTATTTATTTAACCATTTATTTTTCTTTTGTTTGTCGATAAAATAACTCTTTAAAGAAAAAAATTGATGAAAACGACCGATAAATAAACAGAAAAAAATTCAATTCAAAAAAAGCCCAAAGTGGTCAATAAAAACAACGAATTACATAACAATATACAAATGTTCAATTGATATATTTGGTTTTTATAAGCTTAATAAAAATGAGTCTCCTTTTTTCTAAATAGTCGCATTTTTTGAAACAAAAGAGAAAAAAATTCATTACTTATCAAGGGACCATTATTATCGATTTCAATTAATCGCTTCATTTCTTTTTTTTTTATTTTGGATGTTGTTGATTTTTTTTTCATTTTAACGGGAATAAGAAAAAAATTATAAATAAAATAAAACGAAACGAAATGTGTGTATGCTTTTCATTGTGTTTGTGTGTGCGTTTTTTTTTTGGTGATATACAAGGCAAAAATTGCACTAAGCGTTTTGGTGATAATAAGGTATGTATATATCATCAAATTTAACAGAATTTCTGTTTTGATTTATACCTTGATATTGATTGTAATTGGCGCCAGGATAACCTGTATTGTATCGTCCTGAATCGATCGATTGTGATTGAGTGTGATCGAATTGATTCGAGTGAGTAAGTTTGCGCGCGGTTGGTGTTTGTGTGATAATTGGTTCACCGTTAACATAGATAACAAAATGGACATATGTGAAAGAAAAACAAAAAAAATTACACATAATGACAGATATTTGTATGCAGGGCCGAGATGAAACAGATGTGTGTGTTGGTTTATGACTGAATTTATATTATGCCAACGATTTATGTGATGAATGATGGGAAAATTTCATAGTGATTTTTCAATTTCGACCGATTTACAAGATACAAGAACATAGAACATTGAGGGTTATTGAATGAATGAATGAATTATGAGTTACGAATGTTTGTTATGTTTACACTTAAATACATTCAATGTCATACTCGTATGGTAATAAATCTATTTCCGGAATCAATGAAATGTGGAAAATGCGTTGTTTCGTTTTCCATCGACGCATTTCAAAGACTCCTCAATGAATGAACGATGAATGAGATTTTTCATTTGAGAGAAAATTGTTTGTTTCAAAAGTCGTTAAATTAAATGCAAGTTTATTTTTCCCAATGGAAAGGAAAAGAAACAAACAAATGATGTGATTACTAACCTGGTGCGTTTTGGCCAACTGTGGATCGTGGTAAGGTGTGGGAACCATAGTTGTTAGCAAAGGTTGGTGCTGGTTTTGGTTGCGACCAGCTTTGTTGATGCATAGCTGGGCTTCGAGGTCCTGCAGTTGGTACACCGAATGGTCGTGGTCCACCAAAGTTCGATTTAACCTAAATACCCAACAGAAGAAACAGAAGAAGAGAAGAAAAAATTAGAAAAATATTTCCACAATTACCAGCAATAAAACTTCGGAAAAGATTCTCTCAATTAAAAAGCGGAGATAATGTTGGCTTTAAAATAATTTCATTACAGTTATATAGTTTTTTTTTTGTTCTAGTCTAACAAACACACACATGTAGAAGCCCATACGTTAGAACAACAATGGTCGATTTTCTTTTGTACGTATAAAAATGTTTATGTTTGTTACAGTTTCCATACATGGACTGATTAAATGAAGCTGAAGTGAGTGAGTGACACAATGCAAAAAGAGAGAAAAAAACAAGAAAAACGCGCGCGCTAAGCGTACACTTACCTTATAGTTAATGGGTTTTCCTTTACCTGGTGGATGAACGCTTCTAATAACATCACCGTTAAGTGTTTTATATGCGAAATTTTCACCGCAACCGATTAGCTCGTTGGACGGTTGTTTGATGGTGCCGTAGATCGAATCGGCCGCCATTTTACCATTAGTTGTTGTTGTTGTTGTTGTTGTTTCATGAACCGTTTGATCGATCGATGCTAATTTATTGCACGTAATCGACGATTCATGATGCAAATCATTGAAATCAATCTGATCGTTATCGCTACTGTCTTCATGTTCATTGTTGTTGTTGTTGTTATTGTTGTTGTTGTTGTTGTTGTTGTTGTTGTTGTTGTTGTTGTTGTT